CAAAAATTCTGTGTTTTTCTGTCAATATGGGGTGCTGTGTGTACATTAATGAGGAAAAAAATGAACTTAAATGATTTTAGCATATGGCTGCAATATAACAAAGAGTGAAAAATTTAAGGGGGTCTGAATACTTTCCATACCCACTGTACATATCCACATGCAAACACACACAAAACCACCATCTGTGGTGCAGGGGCAGGTCCATATTGATCACTCATGCATATTTATCAGCCTGGAGAATCTGTGGTGAAGTGGTTCAACCATCTGAAGGAGGAGGTAGAGAGGTCGAAAACGAGACAGGAAAGAAAGGAGGCAGAACATGAACTATGGGAAAGACTCGAGAAGGAACACAATAAATGAGTTTCGAGGCAGGCGAAAAGGTCAGGCATTTTTAAAAACCAGGAATAAGAATTAGAAGGAAGGGAATCCAGAAGCTGAAGTGAGGAAGCCAGACATTGGTGTAGAAATGGAGGTGTAGTGACCTTGAGACCTCTAGCCTATAACTGCTGAATCTTAAATAAGGCAGCCAGAATCAAATACACACACACATGCAATCTGTATTATTACATTATACACATATACTGTACATATTGCATGTGCTACATGAAAAATAAGAAAAAGTTTTTGGTCCAAAATTCTGTCCAGGACAATATTCGAATCCATTCAACAAGCTCGGGAGGTTTATTTATTTTTAATTGTTTGATTTATTTATTCTTTCTAGCATGTAAAGACAGTTGATATATCAACACACATAATTTTCCACATATCCAACAAATGCTAATCCAATATCAATTTGCTTATACCTAGTACATGCTTGAATGGAGTAGGAAGAAGTCAGACTTATCCAGTCCTACCCCATAACATCATCTTACCATCACTGGTTTGCAAGCAGTATCTCTACATAAATAATTCTCTTCTACACCGCACAATATACTAAAAAAATTATTACACTGTTAACAATCATACACCACACCCACAATGTTCCATCTAATTAATCATTAAACCTGTTCTTGCATATATCTTGATTGACACATACCTTTATATTTATGTTTAAACTCGTCAATTCTATTACTATTTTTTATGTCCACACTTAAATTATTCCATAGTTTTACCCCACTTATGGAAATACAAAATCTTTTTTTGGTTGCACGTATAACATGAATTTTTAAATTTAACTGACCCCTTAAATTGTATCCCCCTTCCCTTTCATTAAATAGTTTTTGAATTCCACCAGGTAATAAATTGTTCCTGGCTTTATACAAAAACACAGCAGTCTTATATCCCACTAAATCAAAAAATTTTAACAATTTAGACTGTATGAAAGCTACATTGGTGTGATCCCTATACCCCATCTTATGCACAATTCTTATCGCTCTTTTTTGTAATATATACAATGGTTGAAGTGAGCTTATGTATGTATTTCCCCAGTTTTCAACGCCATACTCTAAGTATGGTAAAATCAATGAAGAATACAAAATGCGTAGTGCTTTCCCGTCCAAAATATATCTAACCCTTGCCAATATCAATATATTTTTGCTATTTTGTTCTGAAAATATCTGATATTCAATTTCCAAGACAATTTGTCATTAACTATGACACCTGGAAAGTTAATTTTAGGTACTCATTCCATTCTAGCGCCCTAAATATTAAACTGAAATTCATTGTCTAATCTGGGATTCCCAAATATCATAAATTCAGTTTTATTCAAATTTAGATATACTATATTACTAATGCACCATTTCTTTATTTTCCTAAGCTCCTGTGAAACTTAAATGCTCTGCTTTTGTACACAACGCACAGACTCCTATACCTGGACAGCCACACCCCTACCCATGGGATTCATAACCCGTGAGTAGCGGCTTTCAAAGC